CAATTGATTCCATCAACTAGTTTGGCTCATCATTCGCAGTTTTTAAAGATAACGTCCATAACAGTAGCATAATGCTACTTTCCTTTCCAGAGCAAAAATTGGCAGGTAAGAAAATAGCGAGTATCTGAAAAAGTTATACACTAATTTCAATGGCTTAAAATGCTGGACGTCATAAAACACTTGTGATACTGGTTTGATTTTTCTGTTCACAAGACACTTCAAAGGCCAGAAGAGCTACAGACCCAGTCACATCTCTTAGCGTTTCTCTGTGGGAATCTGTTCTTCATCTCCCTTCAGAAAGTATGTATATATGAATGCGTACTTCTTAATTACTCCCAAACTGAGAAGGCTTGGCTCATACAAATATATCTGACATCTTAAGGTTTCCATATTTGCATGTTGAACGGAATGAGGAAAGTTGTCATGGAGAGAAGGATCTGTAGATTGCCAAAGGAAAAGTTAACATTCTAAATTAAGAACAGTCCCAAGATGTTAGCAACAAGTACCAACTTGTCGAAGGGACTTCAATCTACTTCAGCCCGGAAAATCATGGTACTTATTTTGTCTTTAAGCACCAATGCGAAAAAACTTAAGCATTTGTCCAGAATTACCACACATCACCCATTCTGAAATTCTCCTCTAAAGATCATTTAAAAGAACTTTCCAAAATTTTCTCCAACTCAATCACCAAAAAAAAAAAGCTAATCCTCATTCACACTTTTGCATAGTTTGGCATTTTCTGGAGTTGCGCTTTCATTTTCATTCATTGCTTTTGAGGGGACTCATCTGTCACATACTCAAGTACTTTCAATCTAAAGCCTTCAGGAGAGAAACCAAGTCCCACTTAAGCAGCAAGCTGTCCAGGACTTTAACATTCTTCTTTCCATTTAACAATAAAGATTATTCAGTTTTATCTGCACTTTCAGACTTTTCCCTTTGCATCATGCAGCGACGAACTATGCTGTCAAAACTTCCTAGGTAAAATAGGCCAATGATGCGAAAAATGCCCATGCAAACAACCTGGAAACAGAGAGAAACAGCTTTCAATTCATTTAATATCCTGCGACTGTAGCATATTATTTACGCATGAAATAAGTTTCAGGTAGGTATGCAATATAACCTCAAAAAAGAACAAACTTATGAACACCATCAAATCACTGTTTTATCAGTTCAGGACTGAGTAGCAGGTACTAGTCTTAGCTTTCCTGTCAACTTACTGCTTCAGCTTGAAAATATTAGTGCAGTCTCCTAAACCCATCTCTACCGTATCAAGAGCCATTTGATGGAAAAATAATATTTGCATAACATTTTACATTTTCAGATATTCTAGATTATGAAATTGTGATTATATGGCCTTCCCAAATCTTACCTGCTGAAGACCTTCAGTAATAGAAGTGACTGGTGACATTCCACTGGTCAGTAATGATAGCATGTAACCATCTGATCCAACTGAGCTGTTAAAGTTCCCTTGCTGGATGGGAGGAAAACAGTAATTCAGAAAGAAGTTATTTACCCAGTCGTGGCAAATCAGCACGTGACCTATTTTAACACTATTTTCGCTGATCTTAGCTGACTTAAGTCAGTAACAAGAAATATTTATCTATAAAAAAAATACTGACACAATTAAGAAAATCAGAAAATTTAAAAACATTGTGCTATACAGCAACATTGATACCAAAAGGAATTCAATTAAAAATGGATTTCTCTCTTTAGAGAAGTGTGCTAAACTACTGCAGATTTCTTTGAGATAGAGAAAAGACTAAATTCCTTCTTGAAACATGCTTACAGGTAGAGAAAATATACTTTGTTCTCCCTATTTGTAAATATATTTCAGAGATGGAATTATATGCTAACTCTGTCAGAGCACTAAATACTACTGTAACTGAAGAATAAAATGCTGCTTGCCTTTTGTTTAGGATTAGTTTGCTAAGACAGGAGTTTGGGTTTTTTTCCCCCTTTGGTTATTTCAAATGCTAAATATGCGTTCATCTATGCCAATGATTTTAATTTGGTCTCCTCAAAACTGCAAAACACACATAGCTTGCTAAGCAATTCAGCTGGTAGGAGAGGAGAACACGCGCAGACACACACAAAGTGTTTTGTTTGTTTTTTTGTTCTGTTTTTGACTGGGCATCAGGAAATGGCAGCTCTATAACTCTGACTCCCAGACTACTTCCATTTGTTTCTAGCAGGCTTCATGCGAGGAGAAGACTTTCTGGAACATGTGGGACTACATCCATGGAATGGAGAAGTGAAAGGAGATGATGTTCCTGAATCAGGGTTTGGAATGAATCTACACATAATAGAGGCTATGAGATTTCGTTGAGGTATTTCCCCCCACACACCTGAGAGGATTGTGAGTTCCTACAATACAGAGCTACATTTAACTTGTATTTTAGTCTCTCAACTGACAGCTTGAGTGCAAGGAGACCACATCTGAATTAATACAGCACCCCAAGTGCTGGAGGGACGAGACTGGTTTCCCCTAAGCATCAACACAGAAAGCTCTGAGAGGTCATACTGGATATTAAAACTCATCACCCCAAAAAAGATGTTGTAGGCTGTATTGGTAAAAATATTACAAAAACTCCACAATTCATCACCTGCTGCAGAAATAGTGTTGAAGATCAAGAATATATGGAACTGTAAAATATTAACAGTTTTTAGGATTCAATTGCTAAGCTTTTAAGAACATGTGATATCATGTGTCAATTCTGAGTTGCCTATAGCTCATTTCTTCTTCTTCTTCTTTTTTTTTTTTTTTTAAATGCAAGCATTCCATAGCACAAATCCTAAAAAAAAAAAAGCTCAGAAAGGAAATGTTCCCTTAACTACTAAGAGTAGGATTTTCTGTATTTTAATCACTCACAAATCAGATGCTTAAGACACTAACAGCCAAAGAAGGCTGCATTGCCTCATTTATTGTAAAATTATTACAAATTAACTCAGGTTAAAGATAAATAAGAGTCAAGGAGGCTTTGAGGTTAGACAAACAGTATTTGAGGCATAAAAAGTCAATAGAGTTTAATACTTTAAAGAAAGTAATAACTTATTTTTGAGACATGACATCATACTGCTGCATCACTTTGTTTTGTCTAAGGCACAACTTCAGACACCTTTTAGTTTCAAGAAATTGTATAAAATCATTTGTGGGCATGGTGGCAAGAAGAACACAAAGAAAATACTTCCCTTCCAAACTAACCAAAGAATGCCGTTTCAGGTAAAGTAAGTGATTTTGTATTTAGCTTAGCCATTATCTTATATTTATATTTTTAAGCAGGCATTACATGCAATCCTAGGCTCTCCTACAAAGGTCTTACTTTAAAAAGATAATTTACTTACTATGGCATCTTTGACTATAACTCTGGCCACTTGTTCTGCTTGGCAAACAGATGAGGTTTCAGAAATTAGCTTCGTCTCTAAAGGCTTTAGTAAGAAAAAAAGAGTATTATAAGTTTGACAAACAATACATAGGAAATAAAAATATCAAGGTCAAATTTTGTTTTGTGTCTTCTGTCATGGATGATGCCATCACTGCTGTTAGCAAGTGATATGTATCATACTGGCAGTAAAAACATCTACTTTAAAAAAAGGTAAAAGCATCTTCATAAATAGTCTAATTTCACGACGGGAACTGCCAACTTCTGTTTGAGTAATATTTTTTTCTTGTAGTTTACTACTAATAAAATATTAAAAAGTGTTTTTTTCTCCTCAAGTATTTTATTTTCAACATAAGCTATCAAAACATTTAAACTATGTCTTCTCAACATATATGAGATGTGTTCATTTGTGGTTTGTACCAGAAATGAAGAAAAAATAGGCCTAAAATACTTTAAGCTCCTACAAAACAAAGTTATATTTTTTACCTTTTTATTTCCTCAAATTCCATATGCCAGCATCCACCACAATCACTTTTGTATTTTACTACTTTGTGTTTTGAGTACTTACGCCATTTTACCTTACTAGCAGAAAGCAATTACAGCAGCTATTTTAGCAATCATAATTCCTTTTACAAGAACAAAAGTCTGGTCTGCTACAAGAACAAACATCAAAAGTATGTTTTAAAGTATTTAGAAGCAAGTTTGTCATTCTTTTTTAACAAATTAAACGATGGAACTAAATGCATGGCAATTTGTTTAACTGCTTAATATATTAAGATAGACGGTTCTGTTGATAAAGCAAAAATAATACTAAATTGAGAAAACGTACTTGGTTGCAAGTCAACTCACTGTAATGGCTAATTCAGTTAAATTTAGTAAAAGAATTGAACCAAAATATTCAAAGCTAGTCAAATACTGGGAGTAGTTTAACATTCCTAAACAGCTCCAAAGAGATCAATGCTTTTCTTAAAAACTGACACTGACAAGGCTAACTGAAAAAACATTCTTTAATATTTATGTTTTAAGCAAAAAAAAAAAAATCAAAAACAGCAACTTTGTCAGAGGAAATCACAAACACCTTTTATGTGTTTTCCTCAAGAGATATGGCTTATGACATCAGAACTCATCTCATTATCCCTGAATATTTTGATCCCGTCTGCCAATATCAACCAAATCTGAAAGAGGTATAGACGTTTCAAAGGTAATTACAATACTACAAGGTTTGTGAAAATTACCAGGTGTTCAGCAGAGAGAGAAACTAAAGTTGATGACGTGCTGAGGACAAAGCAAGCAAAACTCATCAATTAAATACTTGATTGGGCTAGTCAGCCAGCCTAAGCACTGTTGTTTGTCCAGCAATTAACTTGAAGAGAAAGATGCAACAAAAACGAGAAAGAGTACCCTGGTACCTGAAATTTCCCCCCCTCCCTCCCCCAAACACACTCTGATTTTAGTATTAAAGAACAGATCTATCTGATGAACAGTGAGTGTGGCAGGGAGAACCCACCCACCAGAAAAGCCTTTGTCTCCTCTAGGTCTTAAACTGAACATAAGCAAGGAATACAGAAAAAAATAGCCAATCCTAAAGAGAGGCAAATCACAGTAACAGACATTCTAATCTAAGTAGCACTGAGTATACATGTAACAGTACTAAATGTTAGAGCAACACAATAACGCGGAGGTTTGAGGTACACTAGTCAACCAACTATCAAGCTAGGAACAAGTCACCTGAAGACTTCATGTGTACTGAAACAAGGCCTAAATCTATGCTTAAAAACAAAGCCTTTTTTTGACAGATAAGGCAAATCTCACCGCATCTCTTAAAAAGAGCAATCTTCGATTAACAGTGCATTTTGCTGGTGACTATTTCCATGAAACAGACTTTTATGAAGAGAACATAAATCCTGAAGAAGGTGCAAGCTATACAAATATCTGCAGATAGCTAATTCTGGCACTTTATGTGGATGTGTGGGAGGATATATTTAATACAGAATATCTATCCGAAGGAAATGATGAAGTAAGAATCGTGTCATAAAATCCCTGCTGATTCCTATACAAAGAGTGAAAGAAAAATGGAACTGAACCTCAAACTGAACTTCCTGTAACATACAGGGTTAGAGGGTGCCATCTATAAAAGGCTGATCTACTTAGATGAGATTTATAGCTCACAGTATGCAAAAAGTAGATCTATTTTCCCTGGTTAAATGAGACTTCATTTCAAACAGGGAGCCCGAGTATGCACCTCCCCCCATCCTTTTGATTTACACTTTATGTGTATGGATGTGTCACATGATAAAGAGACACACAAATTTTAAAGGTCAAAACATTCATTTTTAAGTTAAGCCAAAAGAAAAAGGCCTACTGCCAACACACCTTTCTGAAGAGTTAAACTGTCATTTGCACTACAAACACAATGCAAGAGAGTTTCCATCCTACTTTAGTATTGGACACAATTTAATAGTCGCTATTGTCACTGGGTATATTTACACAGAAGGTTTGGTTTGCAGTCTGCTGAAGGAACTGAGGTTCATTTTGATTTGCCACAACTACCAAAACAACGTTTATCAGGAGGTAGGACAAGGATAATTTTGGCTTATTAAGCTTTTATACCAGAACAAATTACAGTGTTTTTAAAGTTTATCATTCCATAGCAATATTTAGACACTGTACAGTACAGAGACTTTACAATGCATTTCAGATAAAGGTAAGCAATTATTCCATTTAAAGCCAGAACAATAAACGAAACAAAATTATCCTACAAGCTATTTTAAGTCTGAATAGTCAAGTTGATAAAATTCAAGTATTTATTAAAACCCTAATGTGCACTAACTTCAAAAGTACTAAGAAATAAAAGAAATCTGAAATGCATTGCTAACTACGAAACAAAGCTCTAGAAACATTATAGTATTATCGAAGAATTAATTTACCTTTGTTTTACTTTCTTCCGCAAAGCCAGGTGTGTCAGTATCTGGAGGATAGGCCACTGTTATGTAGATATTATACGGTTTTACCTGTATTTTACACAAGTAAACGTTACCTTAATGAGGGACCTGTAAGTGCTGTCAATATAAGTTTGTTAATTTCCCTTGTATTGATGAAATACAGCAAGCATGAGTTTAACTGCTTGTAGCTTTAAGTCACTCTTACATCCAGCACTTGCAAGACTGGAGCTATGTCTAATGAGGAAGCAAAACAGCAAAGAATTTATAGAGCCAGTTATATTTTTTGTTTAATAAAAATCTCTCTAAAAGCTTTACATTTAACATAAGTTATCTGGTAATTCCAAGTGCTTTGTGAGACATTTAGGAGAAACGTGAAAAGAGTTTAGCTCTATAATATCAGAGACTTCAGTTTTAAACAGAAACCAAACCACTGCTGAACATCCGAACCCAACTTTCATAAAGACAAGACCAACAAGAGTTTCACTGAGGCTGATTAGCATGCTTTTTTGTTTTTGCTTATGCCAATATATTTTCACTGCTGGACAGACATGAAAAAAATGACAAATATAAAACTCAAATTTGGTATCTTTAAGAGGTATACTGAAGTCACTAGGCTTTTGAACCTATTAAATCAACTCAGAAGTGGTCAAAACCTGAGAAAGGAGACAACAAAAGTCAGTAGAAAATGTGAGAAAAGGGAAAAGTCTCAAGGCAAGGATTGCATTTAGTTATATTTGTCATAGACATGCACAACTCGTGGCGTGGAACTACCACAAAAAAACCACCACCATACAAATTTTCACTGCAATACAAATAAACAAGCTTTCAATGAAGGTATTCAAAGAGCTAAGATAAAGCAAAGCGTTGTAAAGCCCTAAGCATTTTTTTACTTACATTACAAAACATTCTATATGAAAACACTCACTGAAATACCACATCACAGGCCCATAAACTCCTTATTTTTAATTTTGAAGAATTCAATCTTCATAAAAATTCCTGTCACCAGCTTTATATTCAAGGTGTCTGAAGAAAGAACCTTCAGTCACATTATTCTATTTCGCAGCCCCGAAGTGGTTTAGAAGCAGTTTTACCCCACATTCTTACCCTGACCAAGGCATAAAACTACACTGAACAGAAAGGAGTAACAATGATGATTATGCAAGTGTGTAAAGTCAAACACCAACACTTAATATACAACAACAGCTGAAGTCATTTTCAAATCAATTTTGCCCGTCTTATTGCAATGATGTACTTACCAATCTTTCCCACTGAACAGTGGGAAAAAATGGTTGTTTTACTTTGGTCATGAACTAAACATAAGCTTAGATCATTGCATAATAAAAGGTTCATATTTACCAAACTTTAAAAGAATGAATCATTGTCATCAGATTTTTTTGTGGTCAATCATTAAGTTTAAGTTTGAAAAGTTTACTGTTTCACATGCTTCACACAGCACTTAACCATGGCCTCAAACAGCTTAGGAACCACTGACTTTAGTGGTGCCTGCTCAGACATTCATGGAACCTTAAAAACACCATTTTGCTCTTGCAGAGATTATGGAAATAGACTTTTCACTCAGGAGACTTACTTAAAATGTAAATCATTTTAGTTAAAAAAAAGTTTTGCACACGTGGTGATCTTTAGTTTTAAGAACAAACTGAACCTATTCCTTCTTATGCAACTGAAATCAGCTTAGTTTCTGTAACCCCATCCGGAGCAATATAATTGTATTGATGCCAAAAAGCAGCCAACACAGCACACATCAGCAGTGTTGCACAAGACCAAAAAAAAAAAAAAACCCCTACTTAAATTTGCTGAGCTACTAGTTAAAAATATTTTTTGTTTAAAAGCAGGAATACTTATATCATTAAACACATACCTCCATTTGGAGGGCTTCAGCCAGTCCTCGAAGAGCAAACTTTGTTGGAGAATAAGCCGTGTAACCGAACAGGCCCAATTGCCCAGCCTGAGATGATACAAACACAATCCTTCCCATCCGGCGTTCCTTCATGGTAGCAATTACTGCACGACTTGGGTAAACACTACCCAGATAATTGACTCCCATTAATCTCTGTACAAATGATATTAATATAGTATTTAAGCTATACAGATTCAGAAGCCTTCAGCTGTTTGGTATCGTTTTTTGAAAAAAACATTTCAGGCTGCTTTAATAATAAGCTTAAACAGGTCTGTAGTTCTATCAGCTGGCAAAGAAAGAACAATTGTTTTCTAATCTATGACTTCACAAATGGTTTATAGCTAAGAATCTCACCTCAAGCCAAAAAAAATTTGCTCAATAAACAAGTCTTAATAGCATTTAGGATACGGATAATACTGTGAAACAACGGCCTTCATGGAAAAAAAGAAACACATTTTAGGAAGAATCTGACTTAAACAGTGTCCAGGAAACAATCCATTTATGCATGATTTATGAAAACATACTGAAATGAAAGTTTAAAGAGCTTTCTAAAACTTGAAACAAAAAAACCCCATGTATTTATGCATTTCAGAGATTTTAATCTTTGACAGGATAAGGGGAAGTCTTTAATTTCACTCTCTAGAAGGTCTAAAACACAACTGGTATGCTGAACGAGCCATATGAGGGGGGGATGAATAAGGTAATCAAAACTTTTTCTTTTTTTGGTCTCTGTTACTCCATCAGAGCAACAGCTTCTCAAGCTGCACGAAACTACAAACAATTTGGGCATCTCAAGAGTTTAACACTGACAATGGTCAGATTTTTCTGAAACAGGTAAAAATCATGTTCACCAGAAAAAACAAGGCTATGAAATTCAGTACCTTCCACAGTGCACTAGACTGCAAAAACACGTCAGACTCTTTTGCCATCTTGAGGACTCACCCTGTACCAAAGGGAAAATTCACTACTCTAACCTATCAGTGGACCAATAGTGAGGTGAGAAACCAACTACAACCCTTGCAAATTTAAAGATAGGTTCTAGTTTAGAAAGCTATCACAAGTCAAGTGTATAACTATTCGTACAAAGTCTGTAAAGGCACATGAACGCAGTCTAATTGTTGGAACAGCTGAATAAAAAAAACATTCATATAATGAATGCTCACTTACTTCAAAAGAATTCACTTCAATGTCCTCAAATTTTCCTGTAACTGATGTTCCTGCACAATTTACAAGCAGGTCAACTGGCCCCAGCTTCTCTTGAGCCTGGAACGGGGAAGGCGGTTAAGATGTTCATTAGTGGGAAACCTTCCTATAGCACAAAAATCTTAGCTACCAGTATCATTATAAGAAACTTTTTCTATCAAATACATTGCACACAGGATAAGCTTCTTAAGAAACTTAAGCAGCCCAGATAAATCAGTTACTTTTTTTTTTTTTTTTTTACCTGTTTTAGAACATTCTCCACCAGTTCGTAGTCTTTAGATACATCAACAGAAATACACAGCACAACCTAAACAATGAAAATGAAAGAATATTTCACAACATAATTATCCAAATAACTGTGGACTCAAACCCTTTAAAAAAGGAAGTAGAACCAAACAATATATCTTTTCCAGTAAATCAAAAAGTAATTTTGGACAGAACAACTAGTATTTCTCCCATACTGAAGAAAGCAATATCTCCATCCCCTTTATTCTAATACGATAAAGGTTGCACTAATGTATGAATAAGCATTTCAGGATCTTTGAAGCAGCTACTCACGGGCAAAATATAATTTGTAATTTACTGTATTAAGATACCTTATGGCTTGAGTTACTTACCTAAAGTTTAGTCAAAATTCCACAATTTAACTTTCATCAGATCCCCAAGTCAAACCACCAGTGGGGCCTAGCTTTACTTTTAAGAGAAAATAAACACAAAACAAAAAAGAACCGTTTTTTGCAAATCACGGAAGACCATGATTGCAGAAGCTTGCTCTGAAACTGCAGAATTAACACTGCAAAAGACGTTTCCTAAAACTTATAAAGCACAAGTGTTTAAAAAAAGCTGATAACTAATATCAGTGATGCACACTACCCACTTTTTTTCCTTTTCTTTTTTTTTTTTTTTGGAAGAACAAATTAACCTTAGCTGCATACTATTAAATTGGGACATGTCAGGGATAGAGTTAAAAAAATTTATATGAGAAAATGACTGGTGGCACATCACAAATACCTAAGAAGTGAAGTAACATGTATATGGGAACCAGAGATTATGGGTTTTAGTTTGAAAGATACAGACACATGAAAATGAACATTGGCCCAGGGAAGAGGGAAAGAAAAAAGCAAAACACATGGGTAAGATGTGTAAATAAATATCTAAGTTTTGTTGCAGACAGAAGTTAGGCACAAGTTTTCTTGAAAGTTACAGATCACTTTTAGCAAGACAGTCTCAGAATCTCAGTTTTGGAGCTCCTTTAAATTGACTTATGGCCAAAGGAAGCACTTCCTTTGGGGTATCATTCAAACTGTAAGATCACTGCAAACCCCAGATTGGCCAGGTATTTACAGGTAAACTACCTCCTCTGCTACACAATCAGCAGAGCTTCAAGGCAGTTTATCAACTTGAAAGGAGTAGCAATCTCATTCACAACAAGAGGAGGGACTCTTGAATTCTTGTTCTGATTTTAATCCCTCCCTTTACTTTGGTCAATTTACTCAGAAGCAGTCTGAGGTGCAATGACTTCTTCACCAGTTGGTCATCAGTATCCTCGTGACCGCATGTCATGAAGTATTTGGACACAAAAAACTTACCACAGTGCAACTAACTGCTGTGGCAGCTAGTCATTTGTCAGTTCTGCCTCTGGTCAAGCTGCAACACTTCTTAGCTGCATAAACAGAATGTGCTTGCCATTCCTGTGCAGCAGGTTGGCTATTCCTGCCTCCCAGCATTGTGTGAATTTGGGCATCAAGAGCAAACTTGTGGCGCAAGTTACTGGTGGGTGTCCATGCATCTCCCCTTGAGGCATTTGTAAAAGGTAAATATTTCCAAAATGTAATAAAAGTTTGAGAACAGAATAATAGTTGATGAAGAAGGCATTGATATTTTATCTGGATGTCTTTGCAAGATCATTGAGGAGGTTCCTACTGTTAAAATTAGAGTTCTGTATCAGAATTAGAGCAACTGGTTAATGCACCAGACTGCACAGATCTGTCATTCATACTGGGAACAACATACTCAAGAGCTACCACAGCTTTTATTGACTACTGTCACATTGTATAAAGCACCTCCTTGCTGCTATTATTATACTTTATCTTCTGTTAAAATATACTCATTACCCTCACTTCCCCATCCACACATTGTGGCTCCACTCCTGGGAAACAAAATATGCTGCCAGAAACTGTCTAATGCCCCCATCCCTGTTCCTTACCTTTTGTTCTAAATGACATGTTGTGTTTCATATTAATGGAGCTCCTTCCACAATAAAAGCTCAATTCAACTCCCAGCGAAGTAACTGGGGAGATTCGATATCAGGAAAGGGATTAAAAAAAGTGCAAAAAGCTAAGGGTAGAGATTTTATCCCATTGCACAGCTTTAACCATAAAGGCTGTGCTGCCAGCATTCTAAATAAATCACATGCAAATGTTTTTAAAACAACATTTGGCAGGTCAAACACTGGAACATACACAGGTGACAGAATCCATGGTGTCCGTGCAACCTGGTTCCATGCATGTCCCAGAGATGAATTTTGACATTTTATACCAATCTAACAAGTAATTTTTCCTGAGGGTCTTTGCCTTCTAGTTTCTCATCTAGTAAACGGAACAATCAGTCTGTGAAGCAGAACTTTGCCAGACATCATCTTTCCCTATACTCATTCAGCAATCTTTTTGTACAACTTCTCTCAGCCAAGCTATCCTCATCTCCCCGTTCCTTATCTGATGTTCCAGTGTGAGCTCTGCTCCAGACCCCTGCCTTTTCCAGTTCTGTTCTTTGCATTTAGGTCAGGCAGGCTCCCCTGTGATATCGCTTACAACCCAGCAACGAGTAGAGAAAACGCAAGCTACTTCTATCAGCCCTAGTAGCTATGCAAGGCTAAAGCTGCTACTGCAGAAGGAGTCCTGTTTAGTCCACGGTGGAGCTTGCTTGCTGTTGAAAATACTTTCTGAGATTTTTAACTGATACTTTTTGAGCATGCACCAAGTACTATTCTAAAAAAAGAAAAAATAAAAATCAAGTCTGTCAAGCCCAAACAGATTTTAACAAAAACATCCTGACAGTGTTTGACAAGGGATTATCTTCCTTGGAAAGCATGGGAAAATATCAGGGCAACTGAAAGAAAATAGCTGGAGTTGTTTTGTTTTTGTTGTTTGCTGTCTGTTTTTTTTTTAAATGGGTAGAGTATAGTCTCTTCTCACCTCTAATGGATTAAATTTTCAAAACAAAGTTTATATGAGTAAGGTAGCATGGATGGGGGGGGGAACAAAAAACAAACCAAAGAACCCATCTTGAGCCAATTTGACAGTTATTAGTAAGTGAAGATAGAATCTTATAAATGGAGGTATTGAGAAAATTTAGTATCAGCTAGTACAACATCCTTGCCTCCAAACATTGGGCTTTTTTCAGTGCTTCTTTTCAATGGACTAACCAATTTATCAATTTACCAAACGAAAGTTATGTATGCACTAAAGCCAACAGACACACAATCCCTTACCACATGCATATAAATTGCATGGATTTGTGATTATGGAGGTAACAAAGCTCTGGAACACAACAAAGCAGAAGTCAAAGACACAATGATCTCACTGTTTCCCCTCCCTCTTTGATTACTAATACTGTGAAAAAAATATTTTTAGAAACTCATCTTGAAGGTATATTTTTTAACATAACAAAACTCTTAAGCTAGTACCTGAAAGAGCTCTAAAACAGTGCTTTTAAGCTTGAGCATACTATTTATTCACCAAAGCTCTGAATTTAATGTGTGCAGAACCTTTAGCATTTACAAGTCTCAAAACATCACAAACTTAATTTGTTCATCTGCTAGAGTGTTTTGCCAGTGAAAAGAATGAGCGCGGTATAGTGAATTAAACCTTGAAAAGAAGTATCAAAACTTATTTCCCAAACCAACGGCTGTATTTACGACTTGCAAAAAAGTGAGAGATTTCAGAGGGGAAAAAAAAAAGACTGCATCTTCCACTTGATCTTGAAAACTACAAATGCTTATATACTAAGAGTAAATAGCAGCTACCCAAACACGTCTATTACATCTACAGATGAAGACATCAATCTTTTCCTCTGAGAAAACCAGACTACTGTACTCGCTGAGTGACACAAAACATAGCAGAGTTCAAAATACTACATTTAGGCAGACAGGTATTTTTTGAATTCAGATACACTATACAAAGTCCTCACTTAGTTTTATCAAACCGTTACGTTCTATAAATAGAATTACTGAACATATGTTGTAGTGACTATCTTACAAATAAAACACATAATAGCTATTGGTAGCAATGATCTTACCTGCTTATCATTAACAGAATACTTTTCTATTTCCTTCTTTGTCTGCAACAGCTTGTTCTGAAACGGAGATAAGAACAGCTAAAGCATTGCAATTATGACAGCATATTAGTCTTCAATAAAAAATAAAAACTGTGTTAACTGCAGCTGTATTCAAGGTTATGCAAAGTAAGTTCTCAATTATAAGTAAATAATCAAATACAGCTGAGACAGAGGGGGGAGCTTTAAAGAAACGAGTAAACAAATAAGCAAACAAAAAACCCCACATGAAGCAACCTCTTCGTCTCTAAAGCTGTCTTGATGAGAAGTGGTTGACTAGTAGAAGGTATGCTGAAATGATTATCTGGCCCTAGAATATTCTGAATTTTAAGCATTTGTTCTTAATTCCCCAGCTGTCATTTACAGTAGGGAAATTTTACAGCTTTAAAGAATGCAGGACTCTCTGCTTTTGTTCTCTGCCACACAGATCCAGACAGTAAAATAATGAACGCCATTAACAGAAGTGATAGTATTGGCCGAGTTTTAAGGCAAGCCTATCACAAATTCCATGTCGGACTACACTGTAAGACAAAGGCAGCCTACCTCAACCAGCGTATTAATTTGAAATAATTAGGATCCCCTTAAAAAGTATATTTGAAAAAAAAGTGTGACTAGTTATCAGTTCAAAAATTATTCCCCAACAATAGAGATTGTGACATACTTCAGCTAGTAAAAATACACATAAATTTACCTCATCCCTTGCAATCAGTGTTATGAAAGCACCTTGCTTATAACATTCAATAGCAATACATTTTCCAATTCCACTGGATCCTCCAGTTACCTAGAAGTTATTTAAAAATGGCAGCATTAGTCTATTATTCTCATCCTGTCTCCCTTATGATACAAGTCAAATCAAATGAAAATTCTAAAAATGCACTGAGATTAAAGTTTCATCCAATGAAGTTTGGACACACAAAGCTAGTTTACATACTACGAACTAGAAATAAGATCTGAATATATTGATGAACCTCCGTTTCTATTCCAAAACCAAAGTTTTACCTCAGTGATATTTTTAGCTCATTTCTTATCCCAGGCACACTTAGATCCATTCCCATGCAGACTCTCTCACATGCTTTTGACCAAGTTCTGTTTGTTATTTATACAAAGACTAAAGTAGTTAGAAGTTTAAAATTATTATTAAAGTTAGCCATAATAACCCACTTACACACTGTCCCTCTACAACTGGTCACAGTAGAAATTAGTTGTAAAAAGAAAAATTCTAAATCACATAAACAGAACCATGTTTTTAAAAAAGGATCTTAAAAAAAAAAAATCATCAATTCAATAGTTGGTCTTCTCTGGAGTAAGTCTCTAATCAGTCCCCCAGCCTGGTCCTTGGGCTGCCTCTGCCATCACTCAATTCCAGTTGCGTGGAGATCCCAGTACCCAGGTCTCTAGTACATTTTCTTATTCAGAATTATGGTTTAGAGGAAGCATCTTATATGCAAACAGGAAATAACAGTTTGTCTAGAGACAAATGAAGGGTGATGGCTCCAGGACTGCATCACATGTTGCAGAGGCACATGCTATGCCAAGTTCCACTAACATACAGGTTAAAGTCACCTTAATAACTTTCTTGCTTCCCTCAATAAATGCATGCTTCAATTCCACATGGAACAAAAAGCAGATGACAGTCCTGACCTCTCTTTCTGACTAAAAGGGAAAAAGTCTGCCTATTTCATATTGCCTTTCAGATGACATGTTGCAAATTCCCTTAAACGCAGTCTCAAACAGCTGAACTTTCAGCCCTTAAACAAAACACACAAATACCTTCTTTATGTACCTAAATTGCTTGACTTGTCCCCTAATAGCATATTCAGATTTAAGTGAGAAAATATTGCAACAAAATGGCTAGAAGTAGTTATTGTAAAGAAAATCGGTTACTGAAGTGAGTTCTGAAATACAGACTTCCTAATAATTGGAAAAGGTGATTCAGATTCCTCTGTAAGGAGTCATTTTTTGTTTCTTCATCAAAACTTTCAAAAGACTTTAGAGAAAGTTAAGTAACATTTTCAGTTTAAGAAAAAGAAAAGGGAGGCACTAAGCTTATCAGTGCCTAGATCCCCCTTCTCTAAGCACATGCCTATCAAAAGCCTTGTGCTGTTTCTTCACCTGCAAATGCCAAACAGTTTTGTTTTCATAGACACATTATCCTTAAAACATTCTTTCCTTTCCTGGAGGCAGGAAAGACTATTAAGAGTCAGAACCAAAAGTACATTCCCACGAGTCACCAAATTCTCTTTTATCACATGAGTATTTTATCACTAACCTTCAAAAGTGGCTTAGTATAAGTAAAATAAACCCCACAAACAAATTTTTACAGCATGGTCTGCAGCTTTTGACTCGTTTGTCTGCAGTCACAAACAGGATGAGAAGAATGGGAGTAACGCTCACAAAGCTCAGTCTAATCTCTTCAGGTTTCCTCTATTATTAGGGATAGTTGCTTCACATTAGCTTCTAACTGACTCTCTCTGCAGGATTAGCTTCACTACACTAATCTTTAAGGATGACTCTTGGATGCATCTCCACTTCTGGAAATGTGAGACCTGGTCTTCAGGATTCCGAACCAAGAACAACTGCTTCCAGACTAAATGAAGTCTGCAATTTTGGGTGCGTGTGCATGCATATGTGGATGGGTGCACACCAATGATGTGGGACGTCAACATAACCCCAGAATTAAATGCTTCATGATGGAGAGAAGCTAAGGCTTTCAGCTTACTTCTAAAATAGCTTGCAAGATTTCAGTACATCATTGGAAGGATTACAAGATTCACTTTGATATGTTCAGGCAGACCTCAGTTCCACAGCAATCATGAGCTGCTTCTACAGATTTTCAATGGCAGCAGGTACACCGTTACAACAACAATGAATACTTACGGGAGACTGTTCTGATACCATTTTTTGCCATAGCATTAAGTTGAGAGATATATGAGCGTTGCCTGTGCAAATTGCCAAGTATCACAGACAGGTAAACTATACCAGTGCTTGAGGAATTCTTTGAAGGTGAAGCTACTGGCATCACGGCCTTGGTTTTTCAGACAATGCTAACATTCACTTCAGAAAGACAAGCTCTGAAGTCATGCAGAAAGGGGAAAAGAAATTTTCTATTCACAGTCACACCCAAGCACAATGAATAGGTCTCATGTCAGATAGTCAGTGACAAAAGGCAGTATCAAATAGCTAGGAGCTCTGCTGTTTAGGTGGAAGGTTGCAACTAATATGTACATCTTTCAGCACCATTCATCATGAATGGTAACTTAACAATTAAGAAATCATTCCTAACACTAGTAAAATCTTAGCTTTGTGCCATAATGAAGTTAGGCTAACTGAATCTGTGAAATCTCTTAGGTAAGTTACAAACATAGACATTCAGTATGAAAGGAAGAGCACACACCTACTCCATTCAACAAGACATCACTAGTTACTCAACCTCATTGCCAACAGTTATACAGCTTTGCTGCATTTCATTAGTTTGAGAGCTTTGAGTTGTCACTCATCCAGTTTTTTAAATTTCACTGGACCCCAAGCTCAGATGAATTAGGAAAATAACAATCTGGTCATAGCAACTCCAAACACTGACTGATTTTTTGGCAAGAAGCGATAATTAAATCCCAGTCATAATTTTTCAGGTATTCAGAACACAATGCTATTAGCAGTTGAGAAGTGTTATTTGGCCACTTCCATGCCTGAGAAGAACAGGTACCAACCTAGTCAGTCTATAATGGATTAGATTCCAACTTCCTGAGCTATCATGTCTGATAGCAGAGTTCAGCTTCTAAGGATCATAAAGGTTTATTTCCCCCCGGTAAATGGGAATGATAGAGGTTAAGTACAGATAATTGCCATGTTTGACTTTCAAATTAGAGAACTGGAAATCCTCTTCAATTGGTGAGATAGTCCAATTCTAAATTAACAGAAGAGTTATCAGGAATGATCAAGATCAAGACCTTCACATCTCCAACAGAGCTTAACAACTTTCACTTAGCAGCACTGAATGCAAACTGGCTTCAGCTTTTAGACAATACTTTAACATAAGTGATTTAGTTCCCTTGAAACAGAGCTTCTCTGTAATCTGCTCCAAGTGGTTAGCATGCCTGAGTAGATTCAAAACGACCTCTTGCTGAACCACTCAAATACATCCAAGTCACAGATCACACCCTTCCCAATATCAGAGCTACAATGCTGAGACAGAGGCTCTCCTTAAAGCTGATCCAAGTCCACAGCAGCTGTCAGGTCTGGCTCAGCACAGAAATGGCCAAACTATTTCCAGATCAGAGATGACCCTTACGCAGGCAGTTAGGCATGCCCAATCTGAACGTGAGATAGTTCCAAACAGAGAACACTTTTATATTCCTGCTATAGCTAGTCCACAAAATTTGATAAACAGTGCTCAGACAACTGCAAACTCAGTTTGTTTTGCAGAAATTGCAACATGGTTTCAGAAAGGTTAATGCTGAAAAAGGGGAGGGGGGAGTATACGGTGGTATTTCAGCAAGGACAGTTTCTAACCATTATTCACGAAATGCTTTTGCTATAAACCCTTAGGTTTGTGCCACATTCCACTTAGTCAAGCAAAGTTCCTTTATCGAGGAACAGAAAAAAAAATAGGAACGCGCTGTGTAGGGAGGGTGCAACACCCCTGACCAAGGGCAGTTAGGTTGATGCAAATGAGTATTATGCACGTGGAGCACGGATGACCGCCTTATCCTATCTATCCTCAATTTCCTGTTGACTGCTACAGCCACCTATCAAAATAATTGTTTATTCTCACAGGTAATACGTGCTAGCATGTAGCCTGAGACCTGAGAAGAAAGTTAAAGCCAATGACAAAATAAAAGATGCACAAAAATAGTCTTCCAGACTTTGGAGAACAGGGAAGGAGGAAAAAAAAAGGCAAGAAGTGCAGTATGAGAAGCAGCAGCTCTAGTGCACAGAAATACCTTTTATACACTTGATTTTAGAAGACTTTCATTTCATGATGGAAATAAAGCAAAGAATATTATACATCTAAAATTTTTGTTTTAAAAAAGCTAAATCTGATGCTTGAGCCAATTTGATAGCAGAGAAGTTAGATTTTTATTTAATGGTGGCAAAGAGATCACCAAACTACACAGCTGATAAGAAAGGGGGAGGCGGGGAGAGAGAAAAAAAAAATTAGACCATTAGTAAGTTAAGAGATCTGTAGACTTCCACTAGGAATACCAGTCCTATTCTCTTCAGAGCAAGAGACTCCTACAATCGTGATTCAGCCAGAAAGCATGCCTGGCATAATGCAATGAGTGTCTCCATCACACAACCGACTCTGGCAGAGGACAGAGCAAAAAACCACACATGCTTCAACTTTCTATCCCCAAAAATTGCCACAGCCAGTTACTTAGCTTCACCTCAAACATATAAATAAACTAACATAGCAATCAGGAGTATAGAAGAGTAATTTTTATGAAGGATTAAGTAGAGAGTGAAGAAACTGATTTAAATTCAAAATTAAAGAAAGAACCAGTACATAATAACATCTGAATTAGCATCTGAAGTTGTACAGCGTCCTTCCTTCAGAAACATACAGTTTCTAAAGGAGACTTTCTGAAGCATAAGTATGTATTGAAGCATACCTTGAAAAATTGCATTTACTGTGAAAGAGTGGTCATTTGTCCCTTCAAGAGGGATTATCCAGCTGAATATGCAATTTACAGTTCTTTATTCCTTTATTCTTTTCTTGCATTGAAAAGGAAAAAAGGTAAATGTGTATAAATGTTAATACATAACTGAACTAACCAGTATTAAAGATGTATCAAAATACTGCAGCATTTTCCCAAGCAGTGAATTTGTAGACTGGGTTTAACTGAGGCCTAACAAAGCTTGCTAAATGTTGAGCTACAGTCTTATCAGAAGCCAGTCATATACTGACAAGAAATATATGTAAAGATTACATAAACAGATACTGGACCTCATCAGACTTCAGAAAAAGTCCTTAAATAACATTATGGTTCTTAAATAATTACAGGAAGTCTTTTTGTCACATCAGTAGCAGAAAACACTCAGTATATGATGTGAAAACTCACTTTGGATGTACAGTCAAAATAAAATTTGTAATTTACAGTACCATCATCCAGTATTTTTCCTCACAGGTCGCACTAGAAAATCCGAAATCTAAATGGGCCAAACATACAGAGTTATTATTAACAGAACCTACAAACCTAAGATTTAACGGACTTGGGAAGAATTGCTCTGTATTTATTAGCTTTCCCAAATATTTTAGGAGTACAACTAAAATCTAAGTAAAACAAGCAGTTCTGCCAGCAGTGGCACTAATAAGATTAATTTCCTGCAGACTTGTGTCATGAAGCTGAAATATATCTACAGCCTTTTTCTCCGTCAGTATTTTAATACAATTACTTCTCTAGCTGGAGTCTCAGTTTTACAAAAATTACAGGAATACCTCCTTTCCTTTGAGATCTCCACCTGTGCCAAATTCACCTTAAACTGCTAACGCAATTAGCAGTATTGGTTACAGGGTGGGGTGTTTTTCTAACTAGAGTATTTGCATCATTTTCAATGTGAATTTTTTTATAAGGAGCCATTTCACGTAGAAAAACAGCACAGTAGCTTCTAAACAAAAAGTTCAACCACATAAAGAAAAGGCAAAACTTGGGATAAAAGCAGAGTATATGAAGCAAAACATGAAAGTTTTGAAGCAAAGTCCATTAAACTTTTTATTGTTGCCATTTCTGCATAAAAATCACAGAAGACCCACATAAGTCTGCTTCACCTTTGCTCTTTTTCAGTACTGAAGGATCTCCAAAAGCTCCAGCTTAAATAGCATTACTACTGTGGAAAGAGCCACCCGTAGCTAGACTCCTTAATGCAAGTTCTAACATCTGTCACACTGTATATGATGCTGTAAAGCCAGTTACAGTACCCAGGTAATACAGTATTGCACAAACCAACTTAGGAATACTGTAGCAACTTTGACAGGTGTAAATTACTCTGGGACAACTTCATCCTCCAAAAAGCGGCTCTAACAGTAGATTAATTTAAAAAAAGGCATCACCCAGAACTCAAAAAGTTTAATTTACAGTAGCTGCAAATTCACTTGTATCTAAAAGGTTCAACTTCTCAGGGATTATCCCAACCTCCCACTTAAATACAAGGCATCTGCAAATGCTACTCACCCCCAGAAAGGAAATTTTAACAAACCATAAACTACAACTTTTCTGCATATCTTAGGGATCTAAAGCTAAGTGAAAAGAGCTATTTTAGGGCCCCAACTCTTTCAACTGCTTAACTCATTTGCATGGCCAGACTCACATCTTTTTGATCCACCTGCAGGCACCTAGGTATCGCTCTCTTTCCTTCCCCTCCCCAAACTATACACCCATGTAACCTCAGTGGTGTACTACTCACGAATTGTTCCAATAGTACATTCATCTGAGAATTGCTTTCTAAAGTCTTACTTCTACCACCTTGACTATATACAGTCAAAACACTACCTACAGACATGGACATCTCTGTAAAGATGAAAAGGTGCATGAGTGTCATCTGATCGCTTCCTTTGTGTTAGCCTTCCCATTTCCTCAGTCTGGCTCATCTTTTAGAGCAAGAAAACCAGAGACCTTTTGTTTATAAGCGTGCACGCTGCTTAGATATCTCGGGAGATGCTAAGAGAAAATAAAATACAAGGTAATCAGCAACTTCAGGAATACAAAAGGAATGTTCCAAAAAGTCAGCATTAGGAGTGGAAATGGCTGGCATTTCTAGTGACTCAGAAAATTGCGCTAAGTCAGCTGAGATACACAGCAGGTGTCCGAGTCATGTACGCAGGTCATTTCCTTATCGCTTCAGATTTGAGGCTCCTATATTTTGGTAGCAGAGAGCGCTACAGCGAACTGCCAAAACTCCTTGCGCGCCACCAGGCCTTCCCCCCCCC